TGGATAATGACGAACTTCCATAAACAGGACGCGAAGGAGATCAGTACATCTGATCACGTCGAGGAATATATCCAATCGATAGTACTCAAGAAAATGCTCGAAAGCATCTCCTTCGACAGTTGATGTGGATTCCACGAGGACAAAGCGAGAACGATATTTTGAGCGCGAGACAAGTACTGCCAGAGTGCAAGAATGCGATCCAGCGCCAGAACCAATAAAGCGGAAATTAAAACTAACCTCCACATTTTATTTATTTATTTAATATTAATAATAATAGATAATAAATAATAACTGTGCATTGCGTTTGGAGGATAAAAGAGTATTTAAAAAATTCGATTAAAGCAATGGATTATGCATGAACTTTCCGCTGAATGCTAATTTTAACGCTAATCAAATTTATGAGTATAGCAGAATTTTATTACGCTTACAAAAAAAAATAAAAGCAAATGTTTATTTTTTAATTTTTTAAAGGTTTTCTTTTGATTGAGAAAAAGTTGAATAAAAACGAATTATATCCTTTAAAAGTAACTATAAGAATAAAATACATGCATCTGTAAGCAAAAAATGTTGTCATATTAAAGTAATAATTAAAAGATTATGGCAACTAAGTACTGATTTCTGCGCATATAATTATGCAATAATCATAAAACCTTGACCTTTTTTAATAGAAGATCAATGACTTGACCTTTCTATAGAATATCAATGACTTGCGGTGACATAACCTATTGAATGAATCGCATAAGAACATGGCCAGTTATCTTTAGCAGAAAAAAGAAGACTGAAACTTACTGTCTATTTTGAGGATAAACTTGACTTAAGCAAAGTCATCTTAAAAGTTGATTACTACAGAAACTGAGAGTACTTCATAATTTACTTAAGAACACAAAATTAAGGTAAGATTCATGAGGGAGTTAAAACCCCAAATTGATATTTGCTACAATATTCCACAGTGGTTATTGTAACTCATAATGGTAAATATAGGAGTGATAATTATGACTAATTAATTACGACCAACTAATTAATTGTTTAAATTGTACAATAATACCACATGATAGTATGACTTAGTAAACCAAATCTATCTGCATACAAATGCTAGCTCTAAAGGTAATCAAATGCTTTGTTCTGATCTGCAAGGTTTATGTATAAGTAAATGTTTCTTTCTACTTGCGCTACAAAATGTCAGAAGGATGGATGTATGTGTTCATTTAACCTTTGTATCGGATGACCTTTGCCTGATTACATTCGTTAATACATTCATTTGTTCTCGCAATATAATGGCTTCAGCAATTCTACTCATCGAATGCTGATTTACTCCATTTCTTTCCAACAGATACTGGATGTGAATGAGCAGAAGCATTAATGAGACTGAGAAGTTATCTTTATTCCTTATTAAGGCATATTTTGAATTTACAACCAGGCGACTTCATGAGATTATATTAAAGTTTTATGCGAATAATCTTAATTTTCAAATTCAAACACGCACTAGTCAGACTTCATATGATTTTGCTGCAAGTACAATAATGTAATTCTTAATTTTTGGAAATTCAAATTTAAAATGTAACTTACTAATAATTGTTTTCTTGCATATTTCTTCAGTATCACAACAAGTTCTTACTATTTTGATGAATGCTAAATTTTTTGTCATAAAAAAATTTGCTAAATACTATCGATGCATCTAATAATCAATCGCAACCGTATTAATTATTATAGAAATTATAGAAAATAGTTGCAAACATATTCTACAATATGTATAATTACAATTATCAATGACAATATTAGAATATTAATAATAATAATAATAATAATAATAATAATAATGAGTTAAAATATAATGCACCAAAATGTTGAATAGACAAATGGTAAGATGAATGCAACAATTAAAGGAGGCAAAGGAAGCAACAACAATATTGTTAACAAATAGAAATGACCTGCAGTGTAGCAATAGCACTTGTACTGTGCTCAGGCAAGAAAACGAGCCATTTTCTGCTTAAAGGCGCCTTCCTCTTCCTCTTTGTCCTCCAAGCATTGCACTCTCATTCTCTACCTTGCCTACATAAAACGGACTTGAGAGAAATTTGCTAAAAATTTTATCAACAGGAGCCACCCACGCAAGCAATTAATTGCACACGCTAGGAAGATGTATGTGTGATTAAGGAGGTTGAGAAGTCACCTTTATATCATCCATCAAGAGGCGTTATCTAGGTTAAATATCAAATGCTGAAGTCACGTAAAGATAACGTTTTCCTCTCACACGCGTACATTTCTTATAAAGCTGTGGCTGATTTCATCTCTTTGCGCGATTGTAATTATTAATACTTTGCTACATTTTGTTCTCAAAGCTTTCCAAACACTGCTCATTTTGAATATCTCTACTAAAAGTGTTATAAGAATTCGCATACATTTACTAGAAGCATTAAATAGTGATTACTTATTCAAAATTCCTAAAATAAATGCATTGCGTATTCACATACATGCGTGAATGCTCGATATAACTTCAAAAACTAGGATTATGCAACGCGCAAGTTATTTGATAGCTACCAAACGACAATCGTATTTATTATTTAAACTGACTGCACTATGAAATTCAATCCACAAATATCTAACTTGTAGCCAGCAATTACATATGTTAATCAATATGCCTCAAGTAAACACAATCTTACGTACAAAATAACGAGACAAGAGGTAACAAAGTAAAGACGGAAGTTTGCTAATGATTAGTCCAGTACCTTTAAAGCGTGACCTCAGCTTGCTCTTGCTTGTTCACACTCGCTTTTTTTTTTCTTCTGCGACGTTTTTTCACATCAGACTGGTGTGATGTGCCTCCAATTCCGCTATTAACCCCATCAATTTTTTTCTTTTTCTTCTTAACTGACAGTGGATTCGGTCCTTTCGCACGTTTTCGCTTTCGTATTAATCTTTTCTCCTCACCAAATACTGCCTTTTTTAACTCTTTTACTTGTTTCAGTTCATCCTTCGGCTTTTCTACTTCCTAAAAAATCTACTTATTTTATATTATTCCCTTTTCTTTTTTAGATGCACCATTACGCCTAAATGAAGATTTTATAAACACTAAAAATCCTTTACTCGAATATTTCCAGAATTTCACTAAAGTTTTTTCTTCACTAGATTCAGTAATGTGTCTTCATAGAAGAATACCTGCATTGTAATTTCACTAGGCCTGTCAATCATGATTCCATTGAATTTGATAAAAAGAATTGGTGCCCCAGGGATTTGTTTTAGCGCTTTAGTGAGCTCATAATCCTATAATTTTCAAATTTACTCGTATTTTGCAGTTGAATTATTTTTCACTAGCCAAATTATGAATGGAATTACCTGTGTTGCAAACAAGTATATTTTTTTACGCTTCATTCGTCTAGCCATGTGCTTAATGCATTCAACCGCTGTTCGAATGGGTTCGTGAGGACACGGTTCAATCTGAAACATTTCTTTGCTCATCGTTCAAAACCAACTTCAATCCCTCCTGATCAAAAGAAAAAAGCATCTGGAAAACGTTCCAAAAATTGAAAAAAAAGAATATATAATTTACATCGAACTGTTTACAAATATGTAATGCACCATACACCGTAGATCCAAGATTCTCCAGTTCTTTTAAGACGCAACTGGTTACACAAATATCCACCTCCTAGAACCCATGCATTAAGTAAGGAAGATAGGCAAAAAATTTTACCTTTAGAAGGTTGTATTAGTTTCTGTGGTAATTAATATACAGTTCCTCAAATATATGATTGAAAATCAGCTGAAAAGCAAACACAAATATGTGAAAATAAATGAAGACTAGAAGAATCTTGCAGCAAAGAACAAACATACATCATTTAAGTATTTAGGCATCTGTTCTCGTAAATTGATTTTATTCTGTAATGCAGCTAAAGCAAAAGTACCATCAAGAAGAACTCGATACGGTGGCTGCAAGCCAAAGTTATGACGGTAAACAGAAAGAATACGTTTAGCTCGTTTGTATCGTTTAACTTTCATTGTTTAGAAGCAAGCTGTATCTGCAAAAAAAATTTGTTATAGAATATACGTTAAAAAGCACGTAGCACATGATACGGAATATTATTCTAGTTGAATTATCTTTTAAAATCACTGAGAACGACAAAACCATGGATAACAACAACTTAATCTCTACTACATTTTTTAAAGAAAGATGAAACTTCACTGTTCATTGTTTTAATTTATATTCATAATAACTTGAAAGTTTGAATCTTTTGCTTTCAATGAATACTACGTAGAAATTTCATCATTACCACACGTCAAACACCAACCAAAGATGGCATATTCAAAGATTATGAAGACAATTCCATTCATTATGTTCATACTACTTAACTATTCAATAATTATCGCCACATACCTTCTGTACTTAAATAATAAACTGTACCTGTTTTTTTACACAGTTCAACAATAAAAAAAATTCACGATTACAAGCCAAATGTGTCACTTTCTCAGCTTTTTCTACCACGCACTTTCCATAATCAACTGCCTACAAACATGCATAATAGATCCTAATTGATAATACAGAAACTTGCGAGGACGCTAGCGATCACCTGAATTGTAAGTTTCAATTTGGATTGAGAAAAAAAGATATCCCAAATATGGACAAAAAAACTGTTCATCAAATTTCATGCTTAGAGTTCAATTTGATACCAGTGCAACACTGAATAAGAAAATGTGCCGATACTGTGAAGTGTACATACCTCACGTGAACAATTGCTTAGATACGCAGCATATCTGTACAGTTTTCGCTCATTTGGCATATTCAAAACTGGAATCACCAATATATTAACATTACTCAACAAGTCATGCGGCGTCATAAATTACCATCTAATTATCAATGGAGCTAACAAAACTTCACAGAAAATGCAAGACAAACGATAATAGCCCTACCTCCAATAACTTTTAATAGCTATCAGTTTTTTGATCAGTTATCCTAATTCAAAAAAACAAAAAAAAGTTATTTTGATATAAATAGCAGATTAGTTTATATTGTAACTTTAAATAAAAGTTTACGACAGTGGACATTAATCAAGTGAAATCGTTTTAATAAT